GTCATTGACCAGAGACGAGTCTCGGTCATGTCTACATAGTTCTCGAACCCGTAGGGTCCACATGCTTAAAGTTCGGTGACAATCGGTAATATGAGTTTATGTGTTTTGATATACCGAAGGTAGTTCGGAGTTCCGAATATGATCGCGGACATGACGAGGAGTCTCAAAATGGCCGAGACATAAAGATCGATATATTGGAAGCCTATATTTGGACATCAGAATAGTTCCGGGTGAAATCGGGATTTTACCGGAGTACCGAGAGGTTACCGGAACCCCCCGGTAAATGTATGGGCCTTATTGTGCCATAGTGGAGAGAGAGAGAGAGAGGAGACCAGGGCAAACCGCGTGCCCCCTCTCCCTCTGGTCCGAATTGGACTAGGAGGGGGGCGGCGCCCCCCTTTCCTTCCTCCCTTTCTCCCCCTTCCTTCTCTCCTAGTCCAACTAGGGAAGGGGGGATCCTACTCCCGGTGGGAGTAGGACTCCTCCTGGCGCGCCCTGCTAGGGCCGGCCGGCCTCCCCCCTTGCTCCTTTATATACGGGGGCAGGGGCACCCCAAGACACACAAGTTGATCAGTTGATCTTTTAGCCGTGTCCGATGCCCCCCTCCACCATAATCCACCTTGGTCATATCGTAGCGGTGCTTAGATGAAGCCCTGCGTCGGTAGCATCATCATCACCATCATCACGTCATCGTGCTGACGAAACTCTCCCTCGAAGCTCTGCTGGATCGGAGCTCGTGGGACGTCACCGAGCTGAACGTGTGCTGAACTCGGAGGTGTCGTACGTTCGGTACTTGGATCGGTCGGATCGTGAAGACGTACAACTACATCAACCGCGTTCTCATAACGCTTACGCTTACAGTCTACGAGGGTACACGGACGAAACTCTCCCCTCTCGTTGCTATGCATCACCATGATCTTGCGTGTGCAATTTTTTTGAAATTACTGCGTTCCCCAACAGTATTAGGCAAGGATGCCCTCTACCACATTCACTCTTTGTCCTTACAGTGAATGAACTCTCTCTCTCTCTCACTTCAAGAAGCATTACAAAATAACCAAGTGTCAGGTATGGCTCTTGGACCACAACGTCTACCAATTCATTCCCTCATGTTTGATGACGATCCTTTGGTATGTGATAAGGCTAATATGCAGGAAGCTTCAGTTATAGCCCAGGTTCTACAACATTTTTGTAATTTCTCATGTCAGATCCCAAACTGGAATAAGTCAGCCATTATGTTTAGTCATAATGTAGATTTACAGGTCAGGCAGCAAATCAAAGGAATCTTTCCAGTTCCTAACATTGACAGTTCCACTGTTCACCTTGGGCATCCTCTCATCCTCCCTGCCAAAGATAGAGCGGCTGCTTAGAACTTTGTATATGACAAATTCAAATCTAAACTAAGTGCCTATAAAGCTGACATGCTATCACACGCAGCAAGACTTACTCTTATAAGATCTGTCTTTGCCTCTATACATGTCTATTATATGTAAAATATTCTTTTCTCCAAAAAGTTTCTTGCAAAACTAACAACAATTATTAGGAACTTGGGCTGATAGAGAGAATCCTTCAACAAGAGTTTTATGTCTACGATCTTGGGCTGATAGATGTATTGAAAAGAAGAAATGTGGCTTAGGTGTCAGAAATCTACAGGCTATAAATCAAAGTCTTATTCTGTCAACAGCTTGGAGATTTGCAAAGGAACCCCAAAGTTACCTCTCTCTTATTCTCAAGGCCAAGTATCACAGTGACACGTCAATTTGGAGAGCTAAACACGATGTTCTCAAATCAGCCTTCTGGACTGCTATCCTGAAGGTCAGACCTCTTCTCATTTCTGCCTCCTTTTATCAATTGGTAGATGGTAGTAGTTCCATCTAGAGTACTCCTTGGTTCTCAGTGGCAAAATATTTATGAGAATCTTATAATCCAGCAGCCACCTTACTCTTATCCAGCTATTGTTAGTGATCTTTGGTTTCCTAATCAGAAAGCTTGGAACATCCATCTTGTCAATGCTCTGTTTCATCCTCATACTGCTCAAGCTATACTGCAAACCCCTATTGTTAATACTACTGGACAGGATGTGTTGGTTTGGAGACTAACCCCTGCAGGTGACCACTCTTCAAAAAGTGCCTACAAGCACTACTTCAATAATCTAGTACTACTGGCAAATCAGAGACCAAAATATGTTCCAATGCAGATTGTAAATCTTCTCACTCAGGTTTGGAGGGACAAACTCATGGAGCCAAGAGTTCAAACTCTCGCATGGACACTTCTTCGCCGAGCACTTCCAACGTGTAAGCGTGCAAGTAAGTTCTCGAAACATGTTAGTGATAATTGTACTAGATGTGGCAACCAAGAGGATGAAATGCACATGCTTTTTCTAGGGCCTTTCTCAAAGGCTGCTTGGTTCTCGTCTCATTGGTATATTAGAACAGAAGTTTTGGTTGAACATAACCATTCCATTCCACAAATGATTAAGGTTTTACTGGATTTGGCCCATCCTCATATCAATGTAACTAGTGTATTCACTTTCTTGTGGTGCCTTTGGAAAGCACAAGATGATGCCCTGTTTGGTAGAAAATTTTGTCAACCATCGCAAGTATACCCGATGGCGAATGCGATCTTACAGGGCCCAAAGCTTGAGGAGGTGATGGCAGGACAAGATGAATGCTCAACAACTGTTGTAGTACGACAACCATTAATCACACAAACACCATCTTTAGTTGCAGGTCAAGGAATCTTCTGCGATGTGGCTTGGACAAATGAGGCAAATATGCAACATTCTCCAGCAGGTATTAGTGTGACCATCCAATTTGGAGGAAATGGTCATTGTCAGCAGCTGTAGGTTTCAGCCATGTCTCCCCCGGTGTCATCTTCTCTCCAAGATGAAGCATATGGCCTACTCTTGGCCACAATGATAGCTGATACTCCCAGAACCGCAGTACTACACGGATTGTTTGGTACTTGCATCAGCAGCAATGACGAGTTCCATATTCAAAGACACATGTCACTTGAACATAAGGCCCATTATTGCTTCTATTCAAGCGTCGCCATCTTTTATCCGCACCAGGGTATCACACATCAATAGGTGTTTTAATGTTAAAGCACATCATCAAGCAAAGTTAGCGATCAAAATTAAAAAAAAGGCATGTAGCTCTCCGATGCCTCTCTTCAGACCATTGTTGAGGAAATCGTTAACTGGTAGCTGCTCGGTTGGCTGGTGAGTAGGGGATTAATCGACTAATCGGCAAGTTAATCGGCCATTTAATCAACTAATCGGACGATTTTTGAGTTTATCGGCTACTCGGTGACCCTACGAGTAGGGATTAATCGGCAAGTTAACTGGTTAATCGGATGAATTCTTGAACAGGGCTTCAGACACATGACCCTGTACAGTGAGAGATGCTCTCGCCATGTCAAGTGTGAGACCCTATATTAAGAAAATATCCAACATATGTTTTTAAAAAAATTCATTGTGCATTTTAAAATTGTTCAACATATATCACAAAAATGTTCAATGTGTACTTAAATATTGTTCAGAGTATATGACAAAAATGTTCAATGTGTATTCAGATATTGTTCAGCGTATATAAAAAACATGTTCAATGCATATTTAAATATTGTCCAGCATATATCACTAAAATTTTAGTGAGTATTTTAAAAATTGTTCAATTTATATTAAGATTTTTTCAATAGATTTTAAAACCTTTTCATGTTTTAAAATTTTATTCAGATTTCAAATTTTGTTCACTATTCCAAAGCATTATTCACATTTTATTTAAATTATTCACAATTTTCCCAACAAATGGTTATTTTTTTGAACTTTCTAAATCTGCCGCTGCATTTAGTTCTTAAATTTTCGCTCTTCCAAAAATTTGTTTACCCTCAGCAGCTGAAGTGTTAAGGAACCGCAGGTCTTCACTGTGTGGTTCATAGTTTGATTTTCTAGTAGCACATTTTTTGGGGATTTTCTGATTGCTTTATGGCGCCACTGAATGGGCTGGTCCATTAGGATCACCCCTACGCAAAAGCTCTGGCTTTTGACGCTCGTGGGCATCGTATAGGGAGTTTCGGCCGAGCTTTGCTACATCTACGTAAAAGGTGTTACGAAATTTACGTCGAGCTTATGTGGCCTAATTTGGTTGGAAGTAAAAAAAAGACCCATGCTCACCCCATGAAATTCGCGGGGGAGCAATCAGTCTATAGGAAGAGAAGTTATGTAGCATTACCTAAGAGTTACGGAGGTGTAACATTTTTTTGTCTCGGCCTCACCCCCTTGAAAGGGCAATGCTAGACCTAAGTAAGGTTTGTTACGTGTTTTACGTAAACAACATCATGGAAAAAGATTATTGGATCGGTAAGGGGGAAGGGGACCACCCGCGTCAAAATCAGCGGGGCAAGAGGCTTATAGTTTGAAAAATTACGTAGGTCTTCGTAGCCACCTGATAGGTGCAGGATATATCTGGCCATCTGCCGGGCCGGGCCTACCAAAGCCCGAGGCCGGCCCATCCCGGCCATCGGGCCTGGTTTTTGGGCCTAAGCCTAGCCAAAAAGTGATAAAGCCCGCCGGGCCGAGGCCCTTTAGTAAATCATGAAAACGACGGGCCTGAGCCCAAGCCCGACCCGGCCTTCGGGCTCAAAATCTAGGCCCAGGCCAGGCCCGGATGCAGCATTGGGTCGGGCTTTTTCGGGCCGTTCGGGCCAGGCTGCCCATGGCGAGGACTAGTGTAGGATTATCTCCCTTGAGATTCAGGGGTAGGGAGAGATTCGTAGGTGTAGGTGTATGATTATAGTTTGCATATTTGCGAGCAGGCAGCAGTCTTTCGTTTTTAGGGAAAGAATCCACATTATTGTCGTCCAGTGCATCGTTTTCCCTTTTTCTTTTTGACTAATCCTCGTGCACCAACCAAGCCGAGGAGTTCAAGTTCGATACATTGTCCAGTGCCGCCCCCTCTTCCACAGCTCCACTTCCAAGTGCCAAAGCGGGGCGCCACCGCCACAGCATGGCGCTTCCAGCGATCTCGTGGCCGCTCATCTCCCTCCTCCTCGCCGTGACGCCAGCCCATAGCACCTGTGAGGAGAGCGTGCGCATCGCGGGCGCAGGCGGCTTGCTGCAATGCTACCCGGCGCCGGCGCTCAGCAACGCCACGAACGGCACGGCGTTTCGTGCCACCCTGCTCCCGCTCCTCCGCTCTCTCCCCTCCGCCGCCGCGCCCACGGGCTTCGCCTCCCTACGGTCCGTCACTCGCGGGGAGCGCGCGTTCGCGCGGGGGCTCTGCCTCGGCAACTCCACGGTGCCGTCCGAGTGCGCCCGGTGCCTGTCCGCCGCGGCTGGGAACCTCACCGCCGGCTGCGGCTCCACCAGCCGGCGCGCCGGCTTCTGGAGCGACCGGTGCTTCCTCGCCTACGCCGACACCAACACATCCTCGCCTAGCGAGGACGCCTTCCGCGCTCTCGTCCTCCTCGACGCCGTCCCTGCCTCTAAGGTCAACACCAAATCCTTCTACTACGTCCACCTGCACGATGAGCTGGTCGCCATGGCGCAGCAGGTGGCGCGGCGCGCGGCCGCGAACATCTCCGGGCCGCGGATGCTGGCCACAGCGGAGGAGAGCAACTCCGAGAGCGCGGTGAGCAGAACAGTGCACGTTCTGGCGCAGTGCGGGAGGGACCGCACGGCGGCGGGCTGCGTCCGGTGCCTGCAAAACTCGGTGCACGCCGTGGACTGGGACCTCAACGCTGCCCGCGTCGACGGTGGCGTGGCGGCCGCGGTGGTGGGCTTCAACTGCTACATGCGGTTTGAGGTCTCCACTGCAGCGTGTGGCGACACTATCTGGGGCGGTGAGTTATCTTGATCAATCATTCTCTCTCTTGAGTTTCCAATTTCTTCTCACGGACAGAAATAGGCTGCATATTTACTCCAAAACGTCTCAACGAGAGAAACTAATAGTCAAGGTTTTGTTTTCCGGCAGCTGTAGCACCGGTGCTACTCGTGCTATGTATGTTGGCAGGAGGCGCATGTGGGTGTATGTGTGCTTTACCCTGATGAAGTGGAGAAAGAAGGATGAAGCAACCACATGTGCGTTATTTATCGTCCACTGATTGTCTAATCTGAAAATTCGTTACAACATAATCAGAGATCAGAAACGCAATAAAACCTTATGTTCCAATTAAGTTTCTTATTGCACCAACTAGGAGCCGGGTCGCTGGTTCGCTGTTACATCTTTACATGGATGGACACAAATCATATTCACCGCTTGACCTGCCATTTTTTTTACAGATTTGCCAACCTGGCGCACACCCCTTTCATCATGGGCTCCGTCCATTTTTTTTTTTCTTCTCATTCGCATGAGTACGCAACGCACGCCAGTTTTTTCGTCAGCTGCTGGCCCATTTTGATTTGGGAAGCTTCAAGATGCTTGCAGTTCGGATTTCTTTTTTGTTTTTTCTTTGGGTTTTCATTTTTCTTTTTCATTTTTTCCCAACATTTTTCACACATTCATGAACTCTTTAAAATTTATGAATGTTTTTCAAAAGCGTGATCTTCTTAAATTGGTGAACCTTTTTTCAATTTGGTAAAAATAATAATTAAATCCACAAATGTTTTCATATGGATGAACATTTTCAAATCCGCAACATTTTTCGCCAAATTTGCGTTTTTTGTTCAAAATTCATGGTTTTTTCAAAAGTACAATTTATTTCATACTCGTGATTTTTTCATATTCATATCTTTTCTAAAACTTATGAAATTTTTTAAATACATGTTTATTTTTCTTTTTTTCTTCAATTTTACCAATTTTTCCAAATGTTTTTTTCCACAAGTCAACAATCAAATGGTGAACGGTCAACCAATCCAGCAGTAAATCGGTCAACCTGTCCATATGTCGACCCGTCAGCGGCCCACTAGTCAACTAGGCATAGCTTGGCCGGCCCAGTGCGCGCGAGAGAGAGCATCAGTTGGCTTAGCTGGCGCCGTAAGGGCAACCATGAGCGGAATTCCATCATGAGCTCTCGAGAGAGTTCCAATCTACGAGGTCTTTCCTAACAATTTGGCACATGTATTTCGGGCTCCCCAATGGGGTTTGTAGGTTTGATTCACGAGAGCTTGAGTAGTGAAGCCTGATTCTCATATATAGAGAAAAAATCTATCTTGGACTGTACGAGAAAATTCCTAGTTTTTGTAGTCACTTCCTCAAATAAAAATAAAAAAGTTCTCACAGTCATCCCCTCGGGATAAAAAAGTTCCCATGGTCAATAGTCACAGATAGAGAGGGAAAACCGATAATGCTATCTGGTTGACGTTCCCTGTGAAGGGATGGCAAACGAACGCTGTTTGCTGGCAGTTTTAGTTGCCATGCAAGATCAAACGATGGCAATTTCTTCTTGGTTTTGCTCAAAATTTCCTTCTTTCCAGTAACAGTCATGCTGTTATGAAGAAATTGTCGACCTCCACACAACTACGACCGTCATCTAAATGTTCCCAAATGCCAACCGTTATAGTGAACATTCGTCAGATAGTAGGGTCCAAAAACGATTCGTTGTGCATAGAAATTCCTTACCACAACTATCTGGTCAAGATATGGCAGATGCAGAACTATCCAGTAGTAGTACTAACGCGTGGAACTGCATGCGTTGCCACCGGTCACGTGTCACAATCACGGCGACACCTCGAGAGTTCAATTGGCACGATACTGTTGAAAATATGAGCAATTTACCGAATGATTTTATTAACAGAAATACTAGATAAAGCATGACTAATATAGTAGAGATAAAACAAGTCATGCGTTCTGACAGAGAGAAGGAAAATAGCTTCTGCATATATGAACCGTAGCCTATCATATCTAAAGTAGACAGAATAGCAAGTAGCATATATGAAGTAGAACCTAACATGTGTAGGACAAGGACTAGAACAAGGAACTGTGGCAGAACCTTTAATAGGAGAGACAAGAACACGTACGGGACAGCAGCAGCAGAAGCGCTGGACTTGGGGTCGGTGTCCTCGCCTGCCATGTCGTCGAGGAGGTCGTGGACGTCGGGGAAGAAGTCGTCGTCGGGGAAGTCGTCGTCGGCCACCGGATCATTCGTGATGAAGCAGCCAGTAGTCCGCTGAGCGTTCCCCAAAAACCTTATCACCCTTCTCCCGTACAGGACTCAAAAGGTGCGGTTTCGGAGGCCTACTGTCCCGACCTGCGGTGCACGCCGCAAGCCGGGATGGGGAAGATCGTAGCAGCAGCGCAGTGCTCCGGAACTTTGTGGCGAGAGGAAGGGGATCTTCTGGTGTGTCTCTCTGGAGAGGAGCGACCTCTCTTATATAGGCACATGAGAAGGACGCGAAGAGGCTGCGACGGGAGGTGAAGCAACAAAGGGAGACGAAGCGAACAGGCAGCGGCCGAAGAGGCGCGCCGTTCGAATTCAGTGTCCACTACAAAAAAACGTTTCAACTCTCACGTGACCTTTCGTATACCCGTCGTGCGTGGCAAAAATTTAGACATCGGTTCGGCTCATTCCCGCAACCCGCGGCGCATCGTGACGAGGCGTGGCGAGGCGGGCGGCGGAGGAGGAGCGCGCGTGGATGTCCCTCTTGTTCTCATGCTTATACATGTGGGGAAAGAACCTCCCTTATAAAGAGGTCCAACTCCCTCTAAACTAGCAATGTGGGACTAAACTTTTGTTCCACCTCTTGCCTTGCACAAATGGGCTGCGTGGGCCTCTAGGATTTATTAGGAATTTCTGAAACTGCTATTGGGCTAGGCCCAAAATAGACAAAATTCCAGCAATCCCCCACCAGATCCTAGAGGCACAAAAAATTTTGCCTTTGGTTCCAAAACACTGTTTTATATACCGGTACTGCAGTGGAGACTGTTAAGTTGAACTTCCACCTAGAACTCTATGCTACACTAGTAAGCAACTTGAACAGTGGACTGGGCCTTGAACTGCAAGTTTTCTGCAAATCTAACTTCACACAAAACCCTGATCGATAGTGGCTACCGTGGGTTTTCCCCGCGGGTGGAGCTTATGCGTCATACTCCGTGACCTTTCATGAGTTTACTAGAGAGAACTCTACTCTCATAGATTGCGACGTTTGACAATCAGACTCATATAGGTGTGTTCTTCAAAAGATGTTCTACAGGATAACATCTCTGCTTAAATAAGCCACTTAGAACACATTAAGATATACATCAACCTGCCATGCAGATAAGGAGAGTATTGCATCTTCATGGAGTGGTATTGTGAATAATAAGGATACTCTCCTCTCAGTTGACCAATAGCTTGTCTTCCACATCTAATTCACGGGATCTTCGATCATAAAGAATAGGTTACCACTATGAACAACTCATATTGTGGGTCTCATACCCATCTCCCTCGATGCATTATCTATCACATTACGTGATAGACCCTTAGTAAAAGGATCTGCCAGATTTTCAGACGTTTGGATATAATCCAACGCAATAACTCCGGAGTTTTTCATTTTCCTGACAGACTTTAACCTTCTCTAAACGTGTCTTGATGACTTCATGTTATCCTTTGAACTGCTCACTTTCGTGATCACAGTTTGATTGTCACAGTTCATAAGGACACCCGGTACAGGTTTCTCAACAACCGGCAAGTCATTCAAGAGCCGGCAAAGCCAATCTGCTTCAATTGTAGCTGTATCTAGTGATGTGAGTTCTGCTTCCATTGTTGACCTCGTTAAGATGGTCTGCTTGCAAGACTTTCAAGAAACAGCGCCACCTCCATGAGTGAATACATAACCGTTCGTGGCCTTTATCTCATCAGCATCTGAGATCCAGTTTGAGTCACTATACCCTTCAAGCACCTTTGGATGCCCGTGTAGTGAATTCCATAATTTGCAGTGCCTTTCAAATAACGCAAAACTCTTTCTAGAGCTTTCCAATGCACATCTCCTGGTTTTGAAACAAACCGACTCAGTTTGCTAACAGCAAAAGAGATGTCAGGTCTTGTAGCACTGGCTAAATGCATAAGCGAGCCAATAATCTGAGAATACTTCAATTGGTCTCTAGCAACTCTTCCATTCTTTCAAAGCAACACACTAGCATCATATTGTGTTGGAGAGGGCTTGCAGTCATTATAGCCAAAGCGACTCAAGATCTTTTCCACATAGTGAGATTGAAGCAAAGTAATCCCACCATCATCGTCTCTCAACAACTTGACATTTAGAATGACATCAGCCACTCCTAAATCCTTCATCTCAAAACAACGAGATAGGAAATCCTTGACCTGCTTAATAACTTTCAGATTTGTTCCGAAAATCAATATGTCATCAACATACAAGCACAGGATAACTCCCTCGCCCCCACTATGGCGATAGTACACACATTTGTCAGCTTCGTTCACAACAAAGCCTGCAACTGTTAAAATTCTTTCAAACTTCTCATGCCACTGTTTGGGTGCTTGCTTAAGTCCGTACAAAGACTTCAGCAACTTGCACACTTTCCCTTCCTGACCATCGAGTACAAACCCATCTGGTTGTTCCATATAAATTTCCTCGTCCAACTCTCCATTTAGGAAAGCAGTCTTAACATTCATTTGATGAACGAGAAGACCATGCGAGGCAGCTAGTGAAAGTAGAACTCAAATAGTGGTCAGTCAAGCCACAGGTGAGTAAGTATCAAAGAAGTCTTCACCTTCCTTTTGGGTATAACCCTTAGCCACGAGCCAAGCCTTGTACTTTTCAATAGTACCATCAGGCCTAAGCTTCTTCTTGAATACCCATTTGCATCCTATAGGTTTGCACCCATAAGGACGATCAGTTATCTCTCAAGTTTCATTTGACAATATGGAATCCATCTCGCTACGAACCGCTTCCTTCCAGTAGTCAGCATGTTCAGATGCATAGGCCTCTGAAATAGAACTGGGAGTGTCATCTATGAGATACACAAGAAAATCATCACCAAAGGACTTTGCAGTCCTCTGTCTCTTGCTCCT